TTGATGACTGTCTGCAATCTTTTTGCTATATTTTTACAAATGTGGCCACAACATGAATAATTGTTATAATTTGTGTATATAATAGTGGAAAAAATGTCACTTTTGTAAGATATGTTCTTAACGTTGCTGTAGAAACAGGTCAAAGCCTCTGCTTATCCAGGGAAATATCACCACACTGGCGTGAAGGATCGGAGAAAAAAAAAAACTGTGTCACAATACGGCTGTGTGCAGGCAAGAGTAGGACCCAAACGCAAACTCGCAGAGACAAAAAGTAAACTCAAAAAACACAGCTTTATTGCTGGCGTGGAGTGGGACACAAAAAACAATACAAAACTAAACTGGGAAGACTAAAGCCCAAGGAGCCACAGGGAAAAATCACACAGCTATGAGGGAGGACGCAACACTGACAAAGAGAAACATGGGGCTTAAATACACTGAGGGATAACGAGGGGGAATGAGCCACAGGAGGAGAGCACAGCTGGGAGTAATTAGGCAGGACGAGACAAGGGAAGCAAAACTAAAAACATTAACATAGGACAGACTGTGAAAGTAAAACAGGAAACACACTGACGGAACTCAAGACATGTTAACCTAACAGACTGGGAAGACAGAACATAGGGACCTGAAATATGGAAGAGAAAGGCACAGTAGACACAACATGAACATAACAACGCCACAGGGGAAGAGTAAAACAAAATGCAGGAACACAGGACCTCTTTCAAAATAAAATGGGAAACATAATGAAATGCAAACATGACAACATAAGAAACACAGACATGAAGCACATGAAGGACAAGGGAGACTTAACAGGGGTTGGGTACACAAGGGGAATCTAATAAACAAATGGACTTAGATAACCTAATGAACAAAATAAACTCAAACTTAAAACGCTGAGTCAAAAGACCCAGGATCATGACAAACTGAAACCAACTTGGTTACTAAACAGTTTTTTAATTGCTTTGGTAATCTGCTGATTTTACTTTTGCGGCCATCATGATGTAAAGATTGTGGTTATGAATCATGTCTAACCAGTAACTTGGTGGTTTTGCTTGCTCATGTCCTCTCAGAGTGAATTGTAACAC